CTGTTGTAGCCTCTGGGGACCAGATCTATTTCCTTCTGCTTCGGCTGAATAGCTCCTCACTTCCAGCCTTCGCAACTGAAGAAAAGGAGCAGCGGGCTCTTTTTTCATTCTCATTCAAAACAATCGGTTTGCACGTGTGGCAGGGGAAACAGCGTTAAAGAGGTTAATCATCGTTCAGGCAGGCCACCACCCTGCTCAGAATCAAAAGAGAGCGGGGCCTCCCAGAGCTGAGGGGAATTGTTTCAGGACGGCGGGGTGGAAACTGGAGTAACAGGCCTGGCTTTCTTTCAGCGGCGCATTTCTCTTGTCTCTCTCCCCTCTTTTCCCGTTCAAATTCAAAGTGCGTTTTTTCTTTTTTCAAAGAAAATGGGTTTTGTTTCGGGGATTTGAAAATGTGGCATTGTAATAATAAAGCCCGTAAACACACCACTCTTATCTAATACGGGGCTCGTCAAGGAAGGTGTCAGGCAATTTAAATAGCCTGTGCTCAATCCCAGGGACTGGGATCTCAGCAGGCACGGACAGACAATCCCAAGCATCAGTTTACACACAACATCGAGCCCTGCCCAGGGTGTGAATGTTACGAGCAGCAGGCGTCTAAATTCACACTTACTCCTGATTCTCTTGCTCTGGGCGTGATGGCTTTCGGAGAATTAACCCTGTGGCTCCGCTGGTACAGGCACCCTCTCAGAGGGCAGTCTAAGGCATCTGAGGAGAGCGACCCAGATTTCTCGGGTCCAGTGGCGTCGGGTGGTTGGGATCAGCCCATGTTTCCCAGGGGCTTTTGGCAAGTCGAACTGATCAAAGTCAGCCAATTCCTCATTCGCAGGATACAAGACAGAGGGGCACTTTAAAGCCTAAAATCAGGAAGTATGAGTACTGAGAGGCTCAATGTATGGAATTTAATGACACAAACACAAACAAGCAATTAGGCTGTCAAATTCAGAACACTTCCATGTAATTCCTTCCATCTGCTTGTTGCAATATCTAAAAGTTTTACCACTTGCAATTGGCTACAATAACCATGAGTAGTAATGTCTATATTTAAAATAAAAAAACTCAAAAAATGATTTGCCTGGAAATGTTGATGGCATCTCCATTTTTTCATTTTCATACTGTAGTTGATTGAGCCAAGACATGAATAAATACAAGAATACGTGGAGAGATTAAATGTCGCTTTTATTAAGAATATACTATTTTTGTGTTGCCATTGCCGCCAAACTTGAAATGGTAACGTGATTGTTTAACAGCATTAGATCTCTTTTAATGAATAGAAAACCTGAACTGTGGGTATTACAAACACTGAAATTATGCGTTTTCCAAAGCCAGGTTTACAATAGTGTCAAACCTACATGAGTCTGCTGCAGCTCAAAGGCAGTTCATTTGGCTATTCTACATATGTTAATCCATCCATTCATTTTCTAACCTGTATCCAGCCAATGGTCGCTGAGGAGCCAGAGTCTATCCTTGCAATTTGCAGGAGCACTATAATCCAATTCAATTCTTTTTCATTATAAACTCAGACTGGATGTCTTGGGAATAACATCAAAATATCTCATATTTTCTCTGCGTGCTGAAGATTTTGAGATAACACCTGATGCTGATCAGATGATGACTGCTAACAGACCAGAATTTGTTAGAATCAGTGACTAAAAATAATTATTTTGATGTGCAGCTGAATTTCTACTGTTTACTCAAACTGATGACAAAATTCATCATCATGAATTAATAAACATTATGGTTATAAACAGAATGCTTAAACACTCGGAGCATGTCAATACAAATATAAAATAATGATGACCTGATGAATACAACATTGTTTTAATGTATGATCTGGTTGTGTTTAAAAAGTACAGGAGGGGGAAATGTGACATAAAATGTTATGTGTTGTAGCACACACAGTGGCGGGGTAACACTGTGTAGACCACTAGGATAGCAGGACATTGCCCACACAAAGCTAAAGGACTACAAGTCCCAGAGAGCCTTGGGGGCACTGCAGACATGAAAGCAAGCATGGGACACACCTGGAAAGCACCTGCCACAGGTACTGTATTTAAGCGAAGGAGTCATACAAGGCAGGATCCTTAGACTGATTATTATGGAAGAGTGGAAAAGGCTGCTAGTGGCACAGAAGGAGACGGAGAAAGGCAAATAAACTTTGAAGGAGGAATTTGACTTGCCTGTATTGATTTAACTTAAGCTGGGTAAGGAACCTGTGCAAATGAAATCCGGCCTGGAAAATGGACACAAAGATGTTGAAAAAATATTTTTTTAAGGATTGTGCTGTATCTGTAAAAAAACACCACCTCTATTAGCCCACAAACACACCACCCAGAGTGTTACTGTGCTCTCTGTACTTCCAAGCCTCTTCTTCCCATCCCAGTTTCAATCAACAATTTGTTATAGTGCCCTTTGCAACACCAGAGTGCTTTACAGACCTTTACAGCAGTTAATAATATACTAACCGATGACCACTGAGTACGCTCATTTGCCTTCAAGGATACAACATCTGTCCCAGTGGTTAATCGGAAATCTCACGGAGAGAAATTCACAGTGGTGCCTGGGTTCTTGTGCACACTTCTGGGCTCTCCATGAGATTCTCCAACTTCCTGCTGTCTGAGGTAGGGAAAGGACTTCATGACCAACTGCAGTAAAAGAAAAGACTGGACAGCTCTGATACTCAAGAGGCTGACAGACCTGTTTCCCTTCCTGTGCATCTTTAAAGCTTAATTGAAGTGGCTACTTAATTGGCCAGATCTTTTCTAGTCTCTGCCTTGTGTTTCATTCTAGCTGTTAACAGTTCTTCTCCCTAAGGGCCACAGGGACTGTTTTCATTCCACCTGATCTCTTAATGTAACTTATGATTTGCTTAATGGGAATGGGAAACATTTTCGATTTAAGGCAATGATGATTGAGACAGAACTGCGAAGCCTGTGGAATTCCAGTCCCTTGTGGGCTGGAGTTGCCTTTAAAAGTTTCCAATTAAGTCTGTCATTTTCTGATCCCTGAGGGCTGACATTTCCTTCACCAAACAGCACTGTATAGACACTGGAAATGTCTTTTGCTTTTATTGTAAAGGCTGGTGAAAATGGAAGATTTTATGAAGTGGATGCACACAACTTTCGCTTTAATGATCAGAGCTGACTAGCAGTGGATGGCTGTGTATTTTAAAAACCATGAAGAACAAAGAATGGTAGGCGTGATAGCTGAACTCAATCACGAAACATTCAATCAGTTGTTTGTGCCACGTATTTATTTGCTCCTTGAAATATAAAACTGGTCATTTTTAAAGCGACAAAATTGCATTCTTCCCCCAGGTTTATTAACACTAAGAAATCACAATGTTAAGAATGCTAACAACAATAATGCAAAGTCAACAATATAACACAGTGTATTTACAGCAATAGTAAAATTGTCCATATGGCATTCAAAAAAGACTCTTCAGGGCTCTGGAAAACAAAGTCCATCCAGTTGACCTTGATATTGATAAATCTATGAGCTCGGTGGACTCAGAGCCCTGAGTGACTGACCACAGTGGCACAGCTGACAGCACAATCGATTCAGCTGTGTTTTTTTACACCGTGGATTCAGAAGTGAGCCCAACAATCTTTTTAAACTCCCTACTCTTCTTTTCAGAAAAACAATGCAAACCCGATCTAAGGTTGCAGTAGGGAGATTTAAAATTTTTGGAATTGATTTTCTGCTTTTCTGCACTGGGTGAAATGGTCATTAGGTTTGTTATTTTCATCTCCTCCTGGTTTGCACAATTGTATGATGCGTGTTCATTAAAAAAAAACATAATGGTGCAAATAATGGAAATGTTGCATTTGTCTGCACTGGCTATCCCTTGTGAATGATTGTCTTCCTGGAGTCCAAAGGTGTGGGATAACACCACTCTGCTGAGAAATGCACGCTCTCTGGCAGGATAAGCAGCTGTTGTTTTTGGAGATTCATTTCTCTACTGGATTGCGTTTCACCCTCACATCTGGAGCGGTGACACACGTGGAGTGACGGACATATATTAAGTGGTGGAACAGCAACCACATTACACCAGCTAACAGTAGAAAACAACCAAGGTGGAAGCATTGTTATTGTCACTGCTACAGTTCAGTCACTGTTGCCAAGACTATAGGACAGTGTTTAGACAGCACAAATTCATCTTCTTTCATCCCAGATTTTGTCTGCACATTTGTGGGAGTTCTGTGGTTTTCCGTTCTGTGCTCTAGTTCTTTGTAGAGGCGTGAATTACTGTTTTTGTGTGTACTGTTATGGGACACGCTATAAATACCAAACGTCTCATGAATAAGCAAATCAGTTAATTTTCATCGACGAACTCACAGATACGCCTTCATGTAGGGAACTGACTAATCAGGGCTGAAATGATCCCTGCCAAAACAGGGCTGTAATCTCTGGCTATTCCTCACCTGAAAGGCTGACAATGTAGGTAAACGAACAGTTTGCCGGCCAAGTCAAGACAACAAACTGCCAATTGATCTGCTTCTGCATTGAAAGTCTCTTATTTTCCTACAGAGGGAAGGCCCTCGCTTTGGTCATGTGTGGTATTTTTAACTCATTAACGAATAGCTGCCTTGTACACTTCTTCAAATGACACAGTCAGCTGCTACATCACTCGGCAGCTCACAACTGGTAGCCCACTGAAGCTCAACAGGTGTGAGCTTGGCCAGTAGCTGGATGACAGACCTCCTGGGACAGCTAAGGATCTGTGTGGGTCCTAATGCACCAGTACAGTGACAGGGACACAAGGCACAGTCCTTCGGATAAGATGTTAAACCAAGGTCCTGACTCTCTTTGGTCATTTAAAATCCCAGGGCACTTCTTGAAAAGAGTAGGGGGTGTTACCCCGGTGTCCTGGTCAAATTTTCTCTGGCCTTTACTAATCATGGCCTCCTAATAACCCTCATCTATGAACTGGCTTCATCACTCTCCCCACTAATAGCTCATGTGTGGTGAGAGTACTGGTGCACTATGGCTGCCATCTCATCATTCAGGTGGATGCTGCACATTGGTGGTGCTGGAGGGGAGTCCCCATTACCTGTAAAGCGCTTTGAGTTGAGTGGCCATTAAATGGTCTTTCTAGGGACTCTTCCAAAAAACCCTAACTTCCCACTACGTCCACAGCCCACCTGGCTGGTGCACGCTTGTATTCTATTCCAGGGGTTCTTACTCTTGGTCCCACAGGACCACAGACCTACTGTTTTCATTCCAGCTGAGCTGAATTACCTAATTGAAGCCTTAATTGAACTAACGAGTTGCTTGAGTTGGATCTTCTACTCAAGGGTTGGGGATTTTATTTTGTTAATGAAGTGCTGTAGTTAAAGGGCATTTTCAAGGGATGAAGGTTTAAGACGTTTAAGTGCTGAAAGCAGTCAAGCGGTTTGAACTAATCCTATTGTTGAGTCCATGAAGGGGTCAATTGTATAGGGGTGAGCTCGGCTGGAAGGAAACCCAGCAGGCGTCTGGGCCCCCAGCACCAGGATTCTAGTCTAGCACAGACATCACCTCAGCGGAAACATTTCAATACCCTGCACAGCCGTCTGTGCTGTGCAAGACTCCGGAGAGCTCATCCCGAGCTGGAGAAGCTGGCAGGACACTGTCAGGGAGCCATGCAAAGAGAAGGGAAGACCCGGGCTCTGGCTGTCACTCAGAAGGCAAGACTCATGAGTTTTTCCCGGGTTTCCAAACACAGGTTTCCAGAGCTGGGTTGTCGATGAGATTTGCTTTCTGATTTCCGTGTCCGCGCACCCTTGCGTGTCCATCCACTCATTTCCTCTACTTCCTCTGAGGTTGCGTGTCCACATGTGGCCTGTACTCGATGGGGGCCCTGGCTGCGTGGCCTCTGCGGGGCCCCTGGGCATCAGCACCAGTCGAAGGTCCGCCCCACCATCTGGAAGAAACGCTGGCTGGGCTCCCTGAAGAACTGGCACAGCGCCTGTCGGACGTCAGCACTCAGTTCTGGGTGGGGGCGCCCCTTCGATTCGTCCAGGCACTTGTCGTGCCCCTCCGAGAGCAGGCAGTAGAAGCCCTTGGTCTGGTTGAAGTAGAAGTTGGAGGGGGCTATCCTGGGCGCCAGGTGGAGGAAGCTCTCCACCTTCCGGATCTCGGGGAAGGGGTCTCGGATCAGCGCGTCGCCGTCCACGACGTGGATCTGCTCCAGGGGGAAGTGGCGCAGCCAGTTGCGCAGGTGCAGGTGGTAGAGGCTGCGCTGGATGGCCTTGTAGTTGGTGTTGAGCTGCCCGTCGCGCATCAGCAGCTGCTCCAGGGGCTGGTAGGGCTTGTGGCGCTCGCGGCGGTTGTGCAGCACCTGGGTGTAGTCCGAGACCAGCCTCTCGGCGGGGTCCCGCACGATCAGGATCAGCCGCACGTCCCGGCTCATGTCCCGCACCCGCGCCGGCGCCTGGGGGGCCGTGAAGTACCCCGGCGTCTTCTCCACGGCCACCTGCCCGGGCAGGGAGAGGGGCATCTGGGCGCGGTACCACCCCAGGCCCCGGCGGTAGTTGTCGTCCAGGTTGAAGAAGTGGACCTCGGCCTTGGCCACCTCGATGTCGGGGTGCAGGTTCAGCATCTCCAGCAGGGCCCGCGTGCCCCCCTTCCGCACCCCGATGATGATGGCGCCGGGCAGCCTCTGGGTGGCGTTGCTGACGGGGGCGCTCTGCCGCAGCTCCCGCAGGCAGACGCACACCTGGGACTGGAGGAGGACGAGCAGCAGCAGGGCGGCGAGGAGCACTGTCCACAGCATGGTGGGGGGCGAGGGGTCAGGGTGCACAGACAGGCAGGGCGGAGGACAGACCCACTCTACCAGGACCCGATGCTCATGTCCCAGAGTGCTCTGCTGCTGCCCTCTGGGACAGGTCTGTGAAGAAAGCAAATCGCAAGAGACTGTTTCTTATTATAAGCCCATCTGACAAGAAGGGTGCTATAACAGCGTACATAATGACATTAACGGTAAGAACAGTAATTATAATAAATCATTCCTTACATTTATACAGTGCTTTTCTGGACACTCCACTCACAGCGTTTAGTAAAACGTCAGAGCAGGCGGCTCTCAAGGAGCATATTGTGATAGAGATTAACATGGGGACCCCCACCAGTCAATGTGCTGCTGTTTTAAAGAGACCTGAAGAATCTGCAGACAGCTGCCTCTGATCGTCCATCCCGATACAGGATATATACTATACAGGGTGTGGCACAAGGGAATGAAATGAAATAATCAAGTTTAAGACAACTGTTGTTTACATCTGGGTCCAATGAAAATGTCAAAATTCACATTTTTTAAACCAAATTTGACCATTCATGTCCCCTAACCTGGCCCTGTGTTGTGGTTTTGCCGTAAATGCAATCACGTATGTTGTCGGACTGCTTAAATCAGTATTAACAGTATTACTTCACATAAGAGCATTATTTTAAGAGCTGGGATTGATATTGAAATACTTTCTTCTTATTATTGCTGTTGTTGTAGAAATATTGTATTAAAGAGTCCCAGTAGAGGTCTAAAGCTACACCATAGACAGCCCAGGTCAGCCCAGGTGTGTAAAAACTGTTTCCAAGAGAGAGAGAATATAAGGGCGATTCTGCTCAACCTCATTAAATTATATTTCACATTAAGATTGTGAAAGGAAAATGCATTGAATGGTCTCAAGTGAAAAGGCCCAGTTTAATTCCCGTTCCGTCCCGCGAACTGCGCGGTGTACTGTCACAAGCGACTCGAGCGCTGTAGATAGGAGACTAGCGCCGCCTTGTGGCGAACTCCGCCACAGGCGCGCCAACTGAAAAACGCCTTTTTTTTCGCTGGGAACAGGGGGCGTAATCTCATCTGTGTTTATTAGTATGTTAGTTGGAGCTATCCGGATTTAATCGTGCTGTAGAGAAAAGATAATGATTCTCACGGCTCTTAACGAGTACAGCGACTGTCTTGATTAATGCGTTAAACTAATCAAGCGTTAACATAAATGAATGTGCTCGTTGGAACTGACTTCAAAGCAAAGCTTCGCTTCACAGTACATTATTGCCGATACTTATCTAAAACACCTAATCATCTCCTACCCTTTGAACTGCGTTTAAAAAGAGGTTTCCTCGATAACAGATGAATTCCCCGATAGTGGAATTAAAATTAAAATAGCACTTAGCTCAGACGGGAGCTCTCCTTCTTTTTGCCTTAAGATTCTGAAACAGCCACCTGTCTCATCGGGCGGCAGTGGTTCCCTGATGATGGATGGATGGGCGCACGGACGTGTATTAAGTTGTTAGTTCTGAAAGAGTAAAGTCCTGACACCAACCGTAAGAGTACTAACGTGTACTGAAATGATTGCTCCAAATGCACGTAATTAATTGCCGGCGCGCCCTGCCGATGAGGTCATGCTCTAATCTCTCCCCGGCGTCCCCCGCGGGACGCGACCATTTCGAACCGGGGATCAGACATCCTCCCCGGGGGACACGCGGCAGACCTCCCCGGCGGGGCCCCGCGCGCGCCTGAGCGCGTCAGAGAAAGCTCGCGCGACCGCCTCGCGCGTCACCGTCTCCCAGCAAAGGGTGGCCGGCACCCGCCTGGGACCCACAGACTCGTCACTCGGCCCCCGGTGCGTGTCCCTGCGGCCTCCCCTCCAAGCCCGTCCGACGGGGGGGTGATGCGGAGTGCATGTGGACAACCTCTACGGGCGTGAGAGTAATGCCATTCAAAAAACAAGGATGTCTTTAGAGTAACCATTCACACGACCATTGCAGGAACACCTGAGGTGCCCGGTGTCGCTCTGATGAAAGTCTTCGTGCTGTGACTTTGTTATTAATTAGCGTGTCTTGAATAGGAACCATGTCTTGCTGGTGAGGTGTTCCTGTTTGCTCAGTTTAATTGGCCCTTGGGGAGACCCAGCAGCTCTACAGACCCCAGTGTCTGTCTCTGTTGTTGTGCTCCTGTGTCAACGTGTATTATTATTATTATTATTATTATTATTATTATTATTTTATTATTCTTATTATTATTATTATCACCCAGGTGTGGATTATTATCCACACCTGAAGAAGGCTCCACGGCCGAGACGTTGTGTTTTCTTTCTTCTTTTTTTCAGCATGGAATAAACCTAATAATTGTTATTATTATTATTATTATTATTATGTGGCACAGTGGTCAGCATTGCTGCCTCATAGCGCTGGGGTCCCAAGATACTTTCCGACCCAGGGGTGCTGTCTGTGTGGAGCTTGTATGTTCTCCCAAATTCACCGCAGTCCAAATACTGGTTGGTGAATTAGGCTCCTGGGAAAAGCGACCCTGGTGTGAGTGTGCGTGTCTGAGGTCGGATCTGTGTGTGAGCCCTGCGATGGACTGGCATGTACCCTGCCTTGTGCCCGCTGCTCGCTGGGATAGGCCCCCGTCTTAGATGGAGTGAATAGAAGATCGAAGATTAATAGAAGATCGATGGGATAGATGGATTTGCCCGTTCCGAATAAGATTCTTGCAGTGTGTTATTGATCTTTTACTATGTGAGACTGTGGACGGAGCATCAGTCCTTCTGGTATGGCTTCAGAGTTGAAGGAATCACACATCAGGCAGTGCAGAGCAGTGCGATTCCCTCCCCAGTCACAATGTAATTGACCCCCAAGTTAATGGCCACGTCACAGCGGAGCCCCCCACCTCAGAGCTGAGCTGATGAGGGAACATCTGTGGAGAGATGGGGGTGATATATATATATATATTAAGGTAGACAAGGGTCTCATTTATAGATTCTGTAACATCTGTTTGTTTCTGCATTTGAGATTTTGGAAATTGGCAAAAGAAATGTGAAAATAGTCCAGTATTAAACAGAGTGAACAGAGCGGAGTGCATTTTCCACCCAGGCTTCAAAAATACTGTAGTGTATTCTGCAAAACCTGGAGCTGGACAGTCCTGGACTGTAACCTCTACCTGTTCCCCCTTACCAGACTCACTCTCCTGTGACACAGATGGCCCGTGACCCACAGAGCCATTCTGACCACCTGGCATGCAAAAACTCACCCTTCTCCCCCACGGTTTTTTTTAAATTCCTATGATGAAAACTGTATCAAAGATATCATCTTGATCTTGAATATATATATATACACATACAATATAGCAGGCACAACCTATCCAAAAAAATCTTCATGATCATTCTGATCAACTGTCTATTCAAATAGAATCAAATAGACACCCATAAACGCGCTCTGTGGCCGCACATGTGTCACAGAGCGTTAGTGTGCCTAAGCGTGTTAATGGAGGTCTGTGGGATTGATTCTGTCATGAGAGATGGTAAGGACGGAGACTAGTTGTGGGGAGGTGTCTCTGTTCTCAGTTGGGGTGGGGGTACAGTGTCAGAGATTGCTCTCGGTGGGGATGGGGGGGCGCCTAGTAAAAGCCACCGATTAGCCACCCCTTTTGGCATCGCCAGTGCTGCGCGCCGCTGATAAACCTCTCATCGCAGACGAGCAGACCCCCGACCTGCCGCGCTGATAACGCGCACACGAGGAGCTCCGCGGGAGACGGCGAGGCAGAGGAGGAAGATTAGCGCGAAGAGACGGGGATAAAAAGGCAGAGGATGGGTTTAGATGAGGAGGGGGGGATCTGTCGGTTCATCGTCGGTATTCTGCGTTAGCGGCTGTCAGTGATCCAGAAAGAGCTCTCCCGAAGAGAAGCGGGGTGTCACGAATCGGCGTGGCGCATTAAAATAGCTTTAGTTTTTTTTTTTTACTGTGCAGAGAGATTCGTTTCCCCTAAATAAAGAAAACCGCACAGCAGTATATGAACTCCTTATGAATCTGCACCTCCAGATCGCACAATTCATCCCTCGCTAAAGCTGTTTAATATGTTTTAGACTCCTGGTGTTTCCCGTTAAATTGTTTTGTTTTTACCCGTATACATTGTGTTTGTTGGCACTATGTTCAGATGTTTGCTCGTTTACGGTTTCCAAGAAAAAAATGCTTTCCAAGCTCGTTTGTGGTGAATAAGGGATATACGAAGTTAAGTAAACCAGGGAGTACTCACTGACCAGAAAATAAAAACTCAATATCCTATCAATGGCAGTGGCAGGCGGGTCTATTTTTAATTAGACGCGTTACCCCGAAGGGCCGGGTGTTTTCCCTGTTTTCCTATCTACATTTTATTTTCCATACACGGGTATTTCTGTGTCACATTCCCGATTTCGGCAAATAAATACGGGTGCATGTTCTTCGGTTTGAATAACAGGGGGAAATAAACCAACAACTATTGCTTAGTGCTGGGTTTGGTAATCCTTTTAGTAACACGAAGTGAAGGAGAAGACGGAAAGTGGAACAGCTGATACCGGCTTGCCCGTTCTTCATTTCGCCTACTGAGTGATTGTCACGACGGCCGAGCGCGCCTGCGGATTTGTCATCCTGAAGCCCCGGCGGAAACCCCGCATTGCCACCGCGAGACATTGGCACTGGGCCGGCTTCCAGGGAAGGACTACAGCCTGTGACACCGGGCACCGGCTCCACCACCACCGATAACCACAACAGCGAGAAGCTGAGCCCGTGTCTGCAGAAGCAGAGCAAAGCTTGCATCTGCTTTTCCGTGCGTCTGACGCGAGTGACTGACTTGGAAAAGAATCCTGCCGTGCCTGCAGGAAAGTGCACGAGTTCCCCCTTTTCCTTCTGCTTTGGAGAAAGTGGCCTTCGGTACATCCGCACGGTCTTTGCAGGCAGATGCCCAGCTGTGTTTCCAACTATACCCTTTAATCAGTCCAGACCCTCTACACCCTCCTCACTTCCCTGCCTCTGCGGATCTGGGTCAATGAGGTCACAGATCCAAAGCCTCACCCCCCCCACCGTCTGGTCTGCTGCCTCCAGTCTGCTCTAATTAAAGGGCTTTGGCACGAGCAGCCTGGCGGCGGCAGTGGTTTCGATTGGCACCCAGCCTCGCGCGCCCCTCGCCTTCCGGATCAAACTCGCCGCGCTGTGTCTGCCTGGAGCGTGGCTTCCTCCGTTCAGATCTGCCCAGGGCAGGGGGAAACCAGCCTAGCTGTGCCCGTTCTCCCCTGGACCTCGGACCACCCTGCCACTCGTCCGCATGGGCTAAACCGCATGGGCTAAACCTCCCCAAGGTCCAGCAGCCATTCTGTACTCGGGTGCACTGGCCTTCTGCCCCAGGGACAACCCTGGCCAGTAACTCGACTGGACGTGCGGTCTAGTCACGCCTCCGCCTGGCACTGCCTCTAACATGAACAACAGGCATCTGGAGCAGCTCCTGGTGTTCGCTGGCCAGGTTACAGATTAGAGCTGGCTGTTGATTTAAGGGCTGTGGTTCATGACATGGCTGAAGAAGAGTAAACCATTGATTTACAGTACTTCTTTAAAACAAGGCACCATGAGGGCAAGTGCAGACTGAGCTGTAGTGACAGATAATAATTGGTCTGTAGTTGTCACTTGTCTCATCTCTTCTGGGTGTTGTCAGGAAACAACATTAAATGCATCACCACCATGGACTGTTTTGATTTTAGCTCAGCCAAGAGACCAGGAAGAGAAGGTTCAGTTAGATATTGTCTAGTAATTTTAATTAAGAGATCTGGTGCTCAGACAGCAAATACAGCCGCAGCTTGAGCAGGGAGGG